GGCCAGAATCTCACTCTATAGGTTAGCTCAGGCTGGCCTTGAACTCAGTTTCCTGAGTACTAGGAAGACAGGCAGGAGCTACTACTCTAAAGAAACCAGTAGGAATCTTTTCTTGGAGGGTGCTAAGGATTGAACCCAGGTCTTTTCCACATGTTAGGCTCTATTCCTAAACTCCTAAGCCACTGTCCAGACCCTCACTGGGGGATTCTGGGTGGGGCTCCCCACTCTGACCAAGCCCCCAGCCCGTCACTGGGGGAGTCTAGCTGGGGCTCCACCCTGACCCCCCCCAGAGGATTCTAGGCAGAGGTTCTAGCTATGATTCACACATACCAAGACCTCTTTTCAGTTTCTTGATTGACATAGGGTCTCATAAACAACAGAGGCTGTCCTCAAACTCTTCATTCTCCTGAATATCTGAGACCACAAGCGTGTCATAAACAAACCTGACCTCAATTTCAGAATAGTATTCTTCTCTCCATTGACATGTTGACTTTTGACTATAGTGGAAAGTGACTATAGTGGCAACCTATCATTGGCCATAAATCATATTTGGGGAGCTGAGGTAAACACTGGCAGGAGATGGAGTGTGTGTGTGTGGGGGGGGCTGAGACTGACTCAGTGCCCTTGCCTAGAATCCCCGTGAGGGCTTGGGGGCGTGGTCAGGGTGGAGCCCCGCCTAGAATCTCCAGTGACGGTTGGGGGCGTGGTCAGTGTGGAGCCCCCTATAATTCCCTAGTGAGGGTTGGGGGCGTGGTCAGGGTGGAGCCCCGCCTAGAAACCCCAGTGACCGTTGGGGGCGTGGTCAGTGTGGAGCCCCCCCTATAACTCCCCAGTGAGGGTTTGGGGACGTGGTCAGGGTGGAGCCCCGCCTAGAATCCCCAGTGAAGGTTTGGAGGCATGGTCAGGGTGGTGCCCCCTATAATTCCCCAGTGAGGGTTTGGGGTATGGTCAGGGTGGAGCCCCGCCTAGAATCCGCTGGTGATGGGCGTGGACATGGCACAGGAGTAGCATCCTTGTCTATAATCTGTTGACTAAGAGCAAAGTGTGGAAAGCCTGGTGCTTCAGCAAATCAAAGAGGAACTTGAAAAACGAGGGACAGGGGAAGAACTCAAGTCCCTGACTCTTACAGCCTGCAGAGATGTGAGGAGCTGTCAGTGTCCTGCTGCTTTATCCCTGAGGATCAGGAGGGTGACCTCAGGAAGAAGTGAAGTTGAGGTCACCATGCCCTGGATACCCTGGGGAATGGGCTGAGATGCTTGGGGAGGGCAATGCTCAGTGCTGAAGTCATTCTCAGGCCATGGCATCAGCAAGCCCAGGCCTGTTTGTGCACCCTGGACAGTGTAGAAGAGGGGCCGAGGGTCTGGTCTTCAACCTGAGGGCAGGTGAGGGCAGGTGAGGGCAGGTGGCAGCTTCAGGAGTCCTCCCTGGAGGCCTCTGTGGTGGCTCAGCAACTCTGTTCATGCATGGGCCTGTGGTCTGGCTGTAGTTCTCCCATCCATCCCTGTTGTCACACCAGTCCTTCACATGACAGCTGGTCCTAGCCCAGGGTGATCCTCTCTCATCTCACATGGGCATGCACCTGTCAGCTGCAAGCAAAATGGATGGGGAAGCTGGGATTATGTCACTTCTGTGACTTCTGTGTCTAGCTCACTCTTTCTTTTCCTTTTTTCTTTTCTTTCTTTCTTTTTTTTTTTTTTTTTTTTTTTTTTTTTTTTTTTTTCTTGTTTTTCAGACAGGGTTTCTCTGTGTAGCTTTGGAGCCTGTCCTGGAACTAGCTCTGTAGACCAGGCTGGCCTCAAACTCACAGAGATCCGCCCGCCTCTGCCTCCGGAATGCTGGGATTAAAGGTGTGGGCCACCAACACCTGGCTTTATTTGTTTGTTTTTCCTTGGGGACAGGGTTTCTCTGTAATGTAACCACCGTGCCTATTCTGGAACTGGATCTGTAGACCGAACTCACAGAGATCCGCCTGCCTCTGCCTCCTGATTACTGGGATTAAAGGCGTGCACCATAACACCTGGGTTAGGTCACCCTTCTTGCTCTGTTCCTGTCTGCCAGTCTGTGGAGGTAAACTGAGGCTAGGATAAGGGGAAACATGATCCTGGACTGTAGCTTGGATTTTAGTTGAAGCATAAGCAGGCCTGGGCTTTTCCATACATCCTTCTAAGATCCATGCTCTGCACTTGGGCCATTTGTTGGATGTCTCTGAACCTTCACAATTAAGGTTCCTCTCTCTGAATAAATTATTTATTTTTATTTATGCACATTGATGTTTTGCCTGCATGTGTGTCTGTGTGAGGGTATCAGAGCCCCTGGAACTGGAGTTACAGACAGTTGTTAGCTGCTATAGGTGTAAGGATGCAGGCATTATACACTGGCCTGCCCCTGTCACCTGGCAGAATGCACTCAGGTCAGCCCAGGGTTCCATGAGTACCAGTCTGCAGGCAGGTGTAAAGGACCCTTTAAAAGTCAGACCCCTGCCCACTTACACTCTCTTTTGCTCTCTCCTGCTTTCAGTTGGCCACAAGCTACCCCCTTCTTCTCTCCCCCCCTTCTGTTCCCATTGCCTCTATGTCTCTTCCCTTCTCCCTCACTCCCCTTTCTAAATAAACTCATTTAAGCTCTATCTGCCTGGTATATTATTCCCTTTGCCTCATCGCCTCAGTCACCCTCACCTGCTATGGAACCTGCTATGCTCTCCCATGTGGTCCTTTATCTTGGGACACTCATTCAGGACCTCCTCCCCTTCTCCACCTTTTATTCTTATAACTGTAAAAAAGGACAACAATGGGGGTGCTGGGAATTGAACCTGTGTCCTCTGGAAGAGCAGTAAATGCTCTAACTATTGAGACATCTCTCCAGCCCCAAAGAAACTTTCTTCCTTTTGATTTTTCTTTTCTTTTTGTTTTTCAGGGCAGGGTATCTCTGTGAAATAGTCTCCTGGTTGCCCTGGAACTCACTCTGTAGACCAGGCTGTCCTTAAACTCACAGAGATCCTCCTGCCTCTGCCTTTCAAGGGCCGGGATTTAAGGCATGCACTACCCCCTCCCCTTGTGTGTACAGAGTTTCTCTATATTTGGAGCCTGTCCTCGCACTCGCTTTGTAGACCTCTATCTCACAGAGATCTGCCTCCCTCTACCTCCCGAGTGCTGGGATTAAAGATGTGGGCCACCAATGCCTGGCTGACAATAGTAGCTTTAACACTGAGAAAGGGGAATAAGCCATTTTTGGCAGCCCAGGGCTGCTGTCATCTCAGGAGGATATGATACTGTCTGAGCTAAAGAATTACTTCAAGACTAGTCCAGAAAATGTAACAAGACTCTGTCAAAAAATAAAATGCTTGGTTGTGATGGTGAATACCTCTAATCCCAATGTTGTACCCAAATTCTGAGCCCCCAAATCACCAAGAGACCCATTCTGATGCAAAAGCAAAGAGTCTTTTATTGTTTAACGAGTTAACTGTATTCACTTGGTTCCTTCATCATCCAACACAGAGGGTAGGTGAGAAGGACCCAGAGGGGCCAAGGGGTGGGGGATTTATTTGGGGTAGAGCAAGGGGCATGTCTGGGGTCTACAACAGTCTGAGGACTGGTGCACTTCTGGGCTTGGACAACTTGTCCTGTGTTGATTGGCCAGCTGCAACAGTAGGTTGCTATGGCCTTAGGCCCTCCCATGGTGGTCGCTGTGCTTTGCGGACCACTGTTTTCATAAATCACATCCCCAGAGTCTGCCAGCTAACTTCTGATTGGTTCCTTGTCATATGGAGTGTATCTGGCTTCCTGGTGACTAGGAGGCTGGGCAAAGGAGGGAACTCACTGAGCATGTGTTGCTGAGTCAGGTGTCTTTGTCTTGCTGGGTCTTTTCTGCATCCTGTCATGCTGCCCAAGCAGGGGGCTGGGTGAGGGGCAGGTCCCTTCACCAACATAGGATGTTCAAAGCCAAACTGGGCTACATGAGAAAAAAAAAGCAGGGTGGGGGGATCATAGAATCCGGCTCAGTTGTGGGTCAGAGAGTAGAGTGCTTGCCTAGCATGCAAAAAACATTACCACACCAGATAAATCATGCCTGGCACCACAACTCCACAATCCCACTACCTGGGAGGTGGAGACAGAAAGGTCAGGAGTTCAAGGTCAACCCCCATACGTGTAAATATGAGGCCAGCCAGAGCTACATGGGACTCTGTGAGTGAATGAATGAATAGGGATGTGGTACTATTTATACTTCTTTTGTGTCTGTATGGCCACACACACACACACACACACAAGAAAAATTAAAAAAGAAAAAGAATAAACAAAATAGGATATTTGCGAGTGTTTTGCACACTCCAACACTCCAACACTGGGGAGGCTGAACAGACAAGATCTATGTAAGATAGAGACCAGCTTGGTATAAATATAGTGAATTCTAGGACAGTCATGGATATACATATACTGTTATATGTAGACACTCATGTGAAAGAGAAACAAGACCAAATAAAACAAAACAGAAATCAAGTAATCAAAGAATAAGAAAGTAAACAACAAGCCAGGCGGTGGGGTGGCACAAGACTTTTATCCCAACAGTAGGGAGGCAGAGGCAGGCCAATCTCTGAGTTTGGGGCCAGCCTGGGCTACAGAGCAAGTTCCAGGACAGCCAGGGCTCTACAGAGAAACTCAATCTCGAAAAAAAAAAAAAAAAAAAAAAAAAAATAGAATCAAAGACGAAACTTGGATATGAAAAGAGCCAATCAGAGGAGGATTTCTGAGCCGGACGATGTTGGTGGTACACGCGGGAGGCAGAAGCTGAAAGATCTGTGAGTTTGAGGCCAGCCTGGTCTACAAAGCTACACAGAGAAACCCTGACTCTTGACTCTTTAAAAAAAAAAAAAAAAAAAAAAAAAAAAAAAAAAAGATTTCTGCACATGCTCTCTTGCCGCCGCACTACACACTTCCTCCTGGGAGTTGTAGTTCTACTTCGGCGCCACTTGCAGGGCCGACTTTTCCCGGCAGTCACAGAACTACAACTCCCGGCTGGCGGCGTGCGCGCGTGCGCAGCGCGGGCAGCGGAGGCATGTCGGCGCTACGCTGGACCCGAGGTGCTGCGGGCTTTGGCAGGGCGTTGAGCTCCTCTGGGCGCCGCTGCCAGACCTCGGAGGAAGGTAAAGCAGTGTCGGACCCAAGGCTGTGATTTTTTTGCCTCCTCGCGGTCCGGTCACCTTCAATTTTTGCCCTTTGACCTGTGGAGGAGTGCCTGGGAACCCACTTAGCTCGGACACTAGTTGGCACCCCCTCTCCAGGGGAATCTGCAGGACACTTTGACTTTTGACTCTTGCTTGCTTTTGTACTCGAACCCATTGTTGGGGACTTACGAATTCTGACTTTGACCTTTATGGCTACTTGTAGTTATGAGTCTTTCTTGCGGGATCCTGCACCACTACTCCCATAGGCCTGCGCTGCCCTTGAGCATACATTTTCCTGGGTCTTGATTTATTTGGGTTGCGGTGGGGTTATCTTTTGAGACATGGTTCTTCCATGTGGCTCATGCTGGATGTTGGATTTTAACTACTGCTTCAGCCTCTTGAGTATACCTGTACCACATCCCTGACTGTCCTTGTCTTTTGATGCCATTTCTTTCTGAGCATGAGGTAAGTTTGAGACAGGCCCTAACACTTGCATAGGCTGACCTGGAACTCACGATGTTGCTCAGGCTGGACTCCCAACTGGAGACCCTGCTACCTTGGCGTCCAGAGTGCTTGGGTGATAAATGTGTGTACCAAGCTGTCCACTTGAGGTAGCGGTTTCTGTAGCCTCACCCTTTGTGTCTCCCAGGGACCCTCAGTGGCCTCTGCAGCTCAAGAAAGCGCTCTGCTGCAAGTCCCCGCGAGCAAGATGTCCAGAAGGAGTGGGGCCATGCTGAGCTTCTGGAAGGTGAGCTGGCATCCCAAGCCTGTCCATACCCTGTGCAGGGCTCACACCCTCGGCTCCTTACAGTGAAGGCCTTGAGGGAATGGGCTTCTCACTGTACCTGATACACCAAGACAGTATGTCAGATGTGGTCCAGAGGCCACCGAGCAGGCAGTGTTGCCTGAACGTCCTGTTGGGTCCTCTTGTGTGCTGGTCTGGTCTGGGAGCGGTTGTCATTTCATTCCCTGGATCCCAGATTCCCACCTGGGACTCTCACTTCCAGGAAGATGTGAACAAATACCCAAGGAACATTTGTTGGTAAGGTCTTCTGCTGAGGTACACTCTCCAGTTTGAGTCCTGTACAGACCAGGTCGAGTTGGAACCCAACTTTTTTGTTTGTTTTTCTACACAGGGTTTCTCTGTGTAGCCTTGACTGTCCTGGAACGCTCTCTGTAGACCAGGCTGGCCTCAACTTAGATCCGCCTGCCTCTGCCTCCTGAGAGCTGGAATTAAGGGTGTGTGCCGCCACTCCTGACACATCAAATACCCCTGCCTTGGTCCTGTGCACCCTCTTGTCTCTTGCATTCTTGCTGGGGCCAGTCAGTGCCCCCACTTCCCACCTGTTCCCTTTTCAGGAGGCCTCACATGGATGTGCCGTGTGTCTCACCCACAGCTCTATCGTCTCCCATCTACCCCTACTACTCCCGACTTCTTTCTTTTTGTTCAGACCTGAGTTGGGCCCCTGTCTCACTTGGACCATGAACCAGGGACTGGAGTTCTGGGGGATGGCAGACAATCAGCTGGTCCTAGGGACACCTGCATTATGGGCCTGTGAATGAGCCTACTCTGTTTCTGTGCTCAGTGCTAACCATGGCTATTTTTGTATGCTGTGTTCCTGACCAGGCTTTGGCCTTTTTGTGCACTAGATTGGTCACCTCTGAAAGCTATATGGCAGGGGCCCTCTGTATAGTGCAATTAATTGCCTTTAGCAGAAATGTGAGCATTTGATCAACTCTGCACTGAGCCAGGGATGTTTGCTATGTCACTACTTAGGTGTATCAGTATGTGCCTGATTCAGAAACGGCAGGTTACTATATGTTGGCCAGTACCAGCATGTGCTAAGGCCCTGAGGTAGGAGCCCTTAAGGCTGGGGGCGGGGTGAAGGGGGGAGAGAGGTAGGCTGTGCTGAGCAGGAGGCTTGGCAGGCAGAGCCAAAGGTATGATGCTCACCAGGAGAAAGTTTGGGGTGACACTGGGGTCTAGGCTCAGCATCCAGAGGTGCAGGAGTGGGTCCCCAGTCCTTCTCTGCTCTCTGCAGTGCTGGAGGCTCGGGTACAGCAGCTGCGGGCGGAGAGCACATCTGAGGTGATGGTGAGGAAGGTGCAGGTGGACCGGCCCCCAGAGGGCCACAGTAGACACTGGGCACAAAAGCTGGAGGTGGAGAGACAATTGAAGCAGAAACGCCAGGAGCTTCTTGACTCACAGCAGAAGGAGTCCCTCACGTTGCAGACAGAGCCCCGGCTCTGGAGCAAGAAGCTGGCTGGCTGCCTGCAGCAAAGGAGGAAGAAGGCACCCAAGAGCTCGGAGGAGGAGGAGGAGCAGCTGACCCAGGCCCTGAAGGCCGCCCTGCCAAAGCTCAGTCCCTGCACCCTGGCTAAGATGAAGGCCACAGCTGTGGAGCCCAACATCTTGCTCCTCCAGCAAAAGTTTATGGATTTCTTTGAGTGTTGTATCTGCACCGACAACGTGCCGCTTGCCCACCATGTGCTAATCATTCAGCACAACAAGTGTGATAAGCAGCAGCTGCTCACCCTGGACATGTATAACACGGTGATGCTCGGCTGGGCCCGCAAGGTAAGTCCCTGCTCAAGTTCCTTAGGCTTTTCAGATAGAAAACATTCTTCCCATAAAAAACAAGAAAAAAAAAAAAAAAAAAAAAAAGTCCCCCAAAACAGAAGAGCTGGATGGTGGTGGTGGCACACACCTTTAATCCAATCCAGGCACTCAGGAAGCAGAGGCAGGTGGATCTCTGAGTTCAAGGTCTACAGAATAAAAACCCTGCTCCCCTCCCCCACTAAAAATAAAGAGACTGAGAAGACCTGGGTGAGCCTTCTAAGCAGGGGCTGTCCCTGCTGTCCTAGAGACCCCTGAACCTTGGGGGACACATCTGGTGCTTCCAGGTGGGGAGCTTGTTCTTTTTCATAAATTACTTAGGTGGAAACTTGAGTGCTCTGAGAGGTGTGCTTGCTTCTTCCTCAGGGCAGCAGAATGTCAGTCTAAGAGTTCAAAACCAGCCTGAGAAGTACAGTAAGGTCCTTTTCTTTCATTTCCTTTCCTTTTTCTTCCTCCCTCTCCCCTTCCCTCCCTCTCTCCTGTCTCTCTCTCCCTCTCTTCAGGGTTTCTCTGTATAGCCCTGTCTGTCCTGGAATTCGCTCTGTAGACCAGTCTGGCTTCAAACTCACAGAGATCCTTTTGCCTCTGCCCCCCCCCCCCCAGTGCTGGAATTAAAGGCCTGCGCCATTATAGCTGGCCCTATTTTTGTTTTGTTTTGTTTGTTTTTTGAGACAGGGTTTCTCTGTAGCTTTGGAGCCTGTCCTGGAACTAGCTTTGTAGACCAGGCTGGCTTCGAACTCATGATCCTCCTGCCTCTGCCTCCTTCAACAAATCCTACCGGTATGTGCCCCTATTTTTTTTTTTTTTAATGACTTTATTTTTATGTGCATTGGTGTTTTGCCTGTGTGTATGTCTGTGTGAGGGTTCAGAAGCCCTGGAACTGGAGTACAGGCAGGTGTGAGCTGCTGTGTGAGTGTTGGGAATTAAACCTGGGTCCTCTGGAAGAGCAACTGCTCTTAAATGCTGAGCCATCTCCAGCTCTGAAAGAACCTATTTCAAAGAGAGAAAAACAAAATGAAAATGAGAAAAGAAACATAAAACAGATGGGAGGCAGAGGCTCTGGGTTCAAGGCCAGCCTGATCTACATAGTTCCAGACCAGCCAGCAAACAAACGAACAACAATAAGCCAGTCATAAAACAAACTCAGGAGCTCAGTGGTAGAGCACATAGCTACATGAGGTCCTAGGTTCAGTCCCCAGTAATGCAGTATCCCTCAGAAGGATACCCTGTGGCCCACCTACTGCCAGATCCCCTCCCAAATCACTGATACAGTGGGGGGGCATCATCCAGGTTCTGTTCTTGGTCCTCATTGCCACCCTCCCCCCATATCCCCAGGGCTCCTTCAAGGAGCTAGTGTATGTGTTCTTCATGCTGAAGGATGCTGGTCTCTCCCCAAACCTGTGGTCCTATGCAGCCGCACTCCAGTGCATGGGACGCAGGGACCAGGATGTCCACATCATTCAGAGGTGGGTCAGGAATGTGCTGGGGTGGCCCTGTCCCCTTGGAGGAAGCCAATCCCTGGAGTGCTGAGCCTCTACCACCCACCCCACCCCACATTGCCTCAGGTGTCTGAAGCAGATGATAGAAGAAGGCTTCCAGCCTCAGCAGCTCTTCACCGACTTGGTTCTGGCAGGGGAGGAGCGGGCCGCACTACTGAGAGCAGTGGTCAAGGCTAAGCCTACCTTCAGTTTGCCCCCACAGGCCCCAAACCCGGTCAACACATCTACACTCCTCAAGGAGGTCTATGACAAGGTGAGTCACAGGCATGAAGCTGCTGTGACAGCCCCATTGTTTTCCTCGAGTCAGGCACAGACTAAGTTGGTACCTTCACAGGTGGGCACTCAGAGCTGCTCCCTCTGGAGTCTCCTGTCCTGAACATTTCCTGCCGTGGAGCCTCATACTTTGTGGCCTACTGTGCCTGTCCACTGACAACAATGTCCTCAAGGTTCCCTACATGCTGTGGAATATGTTGGAACCTTTTCCTATTTATGGCTCAGTAGTATTTCAGTGTGTCATAGAGCATCCTGTGTGTCCTTGGACACTGGGCTGTTCCTCCTAGCTGTCAGCACTCAGGTGTCTGTGTTCCAGCTGTTGAGTACACATGTCAGGTGTGTCTGTGTTCCAGCTATTGAGTCCACAGTCTTCCAGCTGTTAAGTACATGTGTTTTCAGTTCCTAATCCTTCAGCGATTTCGGTTTTTTTTTTTTTTTTTTTAAAGTATTTGTCACCATGCTGAACATTTGACAGCCGTCTTTTTATTTATTTATTATTTATTTTAGATTTTATTTATTTATTTATTATGTATATAGTGTTCTGTCTGAATGTATCCCTGCATGCCAGAAGAGGGCACCAGATATCATTACAGATGGTTGTGAGCCACCATGTGGTTGCTGGGATTTGAACTCAGGACCTCTGGAAGAACGGCCAGTGCTCTTAACCTCTGAGCCTTCTCTGCAGCCCAGTCCTTCAGGTTTTTAGTTTGAGTGTGTACGTGTTTGGCAGAGGCAGTGAGAGGGCTTCTTGCTTGAGCAGGGTGATATGTCTCCCCATGCCCCTGACTCACTGCCTGCCTGTGCCCAGCAGAAGGGTCCCAAGTCCTACCCGAAGTTGCACCTGCCCCTGGAGACCCTGCAGGACCTCTTCCACCAGCAGCTTAATGTGGAGCTGAGTGCCAACGTCTGTGTCCAGTCAGTGGAGAAGGCCCCAGTAATGACCAAGGAGGTCATTGAGGCGGTAAGGGCCTCACCCTGGGGCCATCACACCTGTCCTAGCTAATAGGGCCTGGGAGGTCTTGGCAGGGGAGCTCCAAGCTCAGGGTTGTGACAGCTACTCTCCCACAGCGGAAGACCCTGAAGACACTGCAAGGGCAGTGGGAAGTGGAGCTTCTGCAAGTGTTGCAGCGGACCAAGGCCACCATGGCCTACCAGGCGCGGGAAGGCCAGCCCACACTCTACCCCTTCCTCTGCCTGCTCAGTGAAGGGGAGTTCGTGAGCATGCTGATGCAGGTGGGCTGGGTCTGGGGGCTCCCGGACACAGGGCACAGGGCTGTGTTCAGGCAGCCATAGCTCAGGCTTATCGCACCCAGGTTCTGCGGTTGCTGCCGGCACAGGGTGAGCCTCTCCTCCACCTGGCCCATGACTTAGGCCTTCGGGTCATAAATCGACATTTGGTGAAGCAGAAGCAGGTCACCAAACACGTGCAGAAACTGGGGCAGCATTACTCACAATACCTCCAGCTCCTGGCTTCCGACACACAGGTGAAGAGGGGGCAGACTTCTGCTGACCTGGGTGCCCCCCTTGGAGACACCCCTTCAGTGGGATTTAACCCACTCACTATATACTTTGCCCACATCCCTCCCCCACCACACTCCCCAGGCACCTTCTCCCCAACTGTGTCAGTCCTTGTGGGCTTCAGTTCCCCCATCTAGTTAATGTGGGCAGCCCCAGGGCTCTCCTGACCAGCTTTCCCTACAGGTGGAGGTGCCCTGCCTTCCTCGGGAGTACTGGGAATCACTGGGCCCACTGGAGACCCCGCTGCAGCAGCCCTGGTCCCTGGCAGTGCTGCTACATCTGGGCAAGCAGCTGGCTGAGATGATGGTGCAGGCAGTGCGGATGCCACGCAACCTGGCCGTCCCACAGGGTTCATGCCGCCTCATCCCAGTGCTCTACCATGTGTATTCCTTCCGAAGCTACCGCCAGGTGAGTGGGACTCCACCGGCCAGGGCCTCTAATGAGGACATGTGAGAGAGGTGCCTGAGGAGCTCTGTGCCATTCTGTGGAGCTCTGACAAGTCTAGGCAGCACTACTCTGCCATCCATGTCAGTGCCGGTGTGTGTGTGTGTGTGTGTGTGTGTGTGTGTGTGTGTGTGTGTGTGTGTGCGCGCGCGCGCAAGAGAGAGAGGCTGGGAGTTGTTACATTAGTCCTGAGGTTCTGAGCTCTCTTCTCCCTGTGTGGAGTGTGCAGACACAGGCAGACAGTGCCTGTGATTAGCCCCTTGTCCATGCCCCTTGTATCTGCTACCTCCTCCAGATCGGCATCCTTAAGCCTCACCCAGCCTTCTCGCAGCTGCTAGAGACAGCAGCGGAGCCCACACTGACCTTTGAGACCACAGAAGTGCCTATGTTGTGCCCACCGTTGCCCTGGATGTCACCACACACTGGGGCCTACCTGTTGAACTCCACCAAAATGATGCGTGCCACAGAGGGCACCACGCAGCACCAGCATCTCCTGGAGAGCTGTGCTCCCGCCCAACTGCACGGTGCCCTGGACACGCTCACTCAGCTGGGGAACTGCGCCTGGCGTGTCAACGGGCGACTGCTGGACTTGGTGCTACAGATCTTCAGGGACAAGGGTTGTAAGCGCCTGGGCGTTCCTCCTCCACGCTCAGAGGCGCCACTGCCGGCTCAGCAGCACCTGCCACCTGGAGCCACCCCTTTGCACAAGGCAGAACTTCGGAAGGAGTTGGCACGCTGCCTCAAAGCTGCTCGGGAGATGCACAGCCTGCGCAGCGAAGCCTTGTATCGCCTGTCGCTGGCACAGCACCTACGGAACCGTGTCTTTTGGCTGCCACACAACATGGACTTCCGCGGCCGCACCTACCCCTGCCCGCCATACTTCAACCATCTGGGCAGTGACCTAGCACGTGCTCTGTTGGAGTTTGCTGAGGGCCGGCCACTGGGGCCACGTGGCCTCGACTGGCTCAAGATCCACCTTGTCAACCTTACTGGCCTCAGGAAGCGTGACTCGCTGCGCATGCGCCTGGCTTTTGCGGATGAGGTCATGGAAGAGATCTTGGACTCTGCAGACAACCCCATGACGGTGGGGAATCTCATGCTCTTCTTCCTGGCTGCTCCCATTTCTGCTTCCCAGCCTGTGGTCCACTCTGGCTTGGGCTGCCTTCCTCAGATGTTCATAACCCCTGACCCCAGCTTTCCCCCCTCCCTGCTGCTCGCTGTGTCCCTTCAACATGCCCAGCAGTAGCTGCTGGTCCTCTCCATCCTCCCTACACACACATGCTGTCCCTATATCCCCATGTCACCTGAACTGTCCTGGTCAGCTTTTGTTGACTGAGCCTCATGGGTCCTACATTCCACAGGGCCGGAAGTGGTGGATGGAAGCTGATGAGCCCTGGCAGACCCTGGCCTGCTGCATGGAGGTGGCACAAGCAGTCCGGTCCCCAGATCCCACTGCCTATATCTCCCACCTGCCGGTTCATCAGGTGAGTGCATGAGTGGACTGCCCACGAGGGGGCTGGGCCCAAGACGCCCTAGGAACTGGCCCTTTCGATGGGGTCTGCGGCTTTGCTGTGTGAGGGAGATGGGTCCTGAGTCTCCTTACGACAAGGCACTACCTCTTTGCACCTGGAGGTGGAGTGGCATGTGTCATGTATCAGTTTGTATTTTATTGTGTTGTATTGGGTCGCTTGGGCTCAGCTCATGGATGCCTCTTGTGGTTAGGATGGCTCCTGCAATGGCTTGCAGCATTATGCCGCACTGGGCCGGGACAATGCCGGTGCTGCCTCAGTCAACCTAATGCCCTCGGACCTGCCCCAGGATGTGTACAGGGAGGTGGCAGCACAGGTGGGTGCCAGGGCCCCTGACCTGTCCCTACTCAGGGGTTGCTTTCTTGAAAATGCCTAGTGGGGAGGTGATATGACAGGGCTTCCCTGCCCCCATCCAGGTGGAGGAGCTCCGCCAGCAGGACGCCAAGGAGGGGCTACAGGTGGCCCAGGTGCTGAAGGGCTTCATCACTCGCAAGGTGGTGAAGCAGACCGTAATGACTGTGGTGTATGGGGTCACCCGTTACGGTGGTCGCCTGCAGATAGAGAAGCGTCTGCGTGAACTCAGCGACTTCCCCCAGGTGTGCAGCCTGCTGGGTCCCCATCTGAGTGTGCTCCCTTCAGCACAGGGACCCTGAGGCTGGTCCTTCTGAATAGTGCTAGTCCTATAAAGCCTAGGTTCTGGCTCTGGAGCAAAGAGAAGGGCAACCTGTTAGCCCTGCCCACTTGCCATTCTTACCCACTGCCCCATCCCCACAGGAGTTTGTCTGGGAAGCCTCACACTACCTCGTGCGCCTGGTCTTCAAAAGCTTACAGGAGATGTTCTCCAGCACCCGGGCCATCCAGGTGCGTTCCCACCTCCTCTCTCCCATGGGGGGTAACCCTCTACCCCGTGGCTTGTTCATCTAACCAGTGTACTCTCACACCCACAGCACTGGCTGACGGAGAGTGCCAACCTCATCTCTCACACGGGCTGGCCTGTGGAGTGGGTCACACCCCTGGGTATCCCCATCATACAGCCCTATCACCGTGAAGCCAAGGTCCAGGTACTTGGAAAGGCCCTTCCCTTTCCCTCTTCTCCCCTCCTCCACACCCAGAGTTGGACTCACCCACCCCCAACCCGGCCTGCAGGTGAAAGGTGGCATCCAGAGTCTTACCTTTACCAGCTCGATGGACATTAGCCAGTGAGTGCCACACCGCAGGGAGGGGAGGGGCAGGAAGGGAGCGGGCTAGGAGGGCATCAGACCTAGAACTTGTGGGTCCACAGGAAGCCCAACACTCTGAAGCAGAAGAATGGCTTCCCGCCCAACTTCATCCACTCCCTGGACTCCTCCCACATGATGCTGACTGCCCTGCACTGCTACAGGTAGACTCCGTGGTGCATGGAGTGCCTAGGCTGCATAGGCACTCAGTCTGTGAGGTTTAGCTGCCTGGGGCATGCCAGCTTTGTGTTTGCTTTCTGGGGACATGATGACATGTGGTAGGACAGTGATGGTGAGGTTGAGTGTCGTGGGTGAGCACTGTCCGCGGAGGGCAGGACAAGATGGAAGTGAAGTGCTCCTGTGAAGGTTCAGGGACCCTAATAGTCTCCACATCATGTGCCCAGGTAGCCCCCAGCAGGTCCTTGGCACAGACCTGCCACTGGACTGAGCTGCAATTCAGTCAGGGGCTTCAATTTACTACGCTGAGACACAAAGGATGTTTGAGGGTGTTTGAGGTATCTTAATAAGTGTCTACTGCTTAGAACATTGGGGAGCCTAGGTGTGCTGGGGACCCAGCATAGCATAAGTGCTAGGCCAGTAGCTAGTAGCACCCGCCTCACTTGCGATCTCCCTGGCTAGGAAGGGCCTGACCTTCGTCTCTGTGCATGACTGCTTCTGGACACATGCCGCTGACATCCCGGTGATGAATGAGGTATTTCCAGTCCCCACCCCTAGTGACCCCACAGGTAGAAGATGGTGCTTTGATCCCAGGAGTCTGTACCATAGCTGACTCAGTTGCCACCCCTCAGGTGTGTCGTGAGCAGTTTGTGCGCCTACATAGCCAGCCCATCCTAGAAGACCTGGCTAAGTTCCTGGAGAAGCGCTTCTGCTCCATCTCCAGGTGAGCTGCCTGCCCCTGCTCTTGCAGCCTGGTCCTTGCCTGTTGCTTGCTCCTGCACTCATGTCTACTCCACCCTGTTTGCACCTCCAGTTCCCTGAAGCCCTCAGAACTTGCTCTGACCAACAAACTGCAGAAGACACTACAGTCCTTGCCAAAGACTGGTAAGGGTTTTAAAGGGGACTTGTACACTGGCCCTTGACCAAGCCTTATCTTCATGTTCTTTTTGGCTCCACAGGTACCTTCGATCTGAGGCAGGTGATGAAATCCACCTACTTCTTCAGTTGACCCATCCCGAGCTGTCCCTAGACCTGTGCATAATGTAAATACATTAAAGTCAATGTCCTCTTTGCCAGCTGCCATTTTCTGACATCGCGCAAACCCACCAAGCAATCAAGACGCGGCGCTGGGCGCCAATGCTGTCGTTTATTGCGCGGAATGGGGTGTGGGTTAATGGGGCGTGGGGGCCGCTGCTGCCTCGGCTGTCAGTACATTCATGGCGACGGCGGGGACTCAGCCTCGCCCCCACGCCGGCTTGGCTGTGATGCCCGCCCCTGGGTGCCCGAGGGAGGTCACTCGAACGCGTGGGCAGGGGCTGGGCTGGTTATTGCGTGAGCTTGCCGGGCTAGGGCAGCGGGAAGCCGGCGGGCCGAGTATTGCACTTGATCCAAACCCCTCTTCGGTGGCCACCGCAGGTGCGGGGCACAGCCAGGTCTTCGGCCAGGGCGGCCCCGGCCCCGTCCCAGATTGGGGCTGAGGCACCGAGGTGATTGCGTCCCTCCCTCTCCCGTGTGCGGCCGCCGCTGGGGCAAGGGCGATGGGGATGGGCGCAGGGCGATGGGGAGGACAGCCGGGCGCAGGGCCGCCCGCCGCCTAAGCTACCTACGTCCCTCTATGGCTTCTGCACAGGTACAGGCGGGCGGCGCGAGGCATGGCTTTGGTGTGGATGATGGCCCCGCCCGGCCCGCGGGGCGTTGCGTAAGGGTCACAAGTTGGAAGAAAGGCGCGAGCGCGCAGAGTCCAGAGGGTCCAGACCACCAGCAGCGCCGGGGGAGGCTGAGTCCCTGCGGTCCGGGCTGGGTGCGGTGGTCCGGGCGGTGGGCGCGGGTCCCAGGCGCGGCGTGGAGCTGCTGGCCGGGCGTGTGGAGGCCGCAGGGCTGGGCGCCGGCGCTCCGTGGGGCAGCGAGGGCTGCGAGGCGGACAGCGGGCGTGAGGCGCGGCTTAGACGGCGCGCGGGCAGTGCGGGCCCCACGCGCGTAGCTGGAGAGCCCGGTGCACCGTAGGGCGAGGTCCGCGGTGCTCGGGGACTGGAGGGCGCGGCCGGGGGACTGGCAGCTGGTGGCCCTGGCGAGGCTGCCGGAGGTGGAGGCCCTGGGGGTGTGCGGCGCACGAGGCGTGGGGAGCCGAGTGCCAGGGGCCCCACGAGTGGGCGCGCCACCTGCGGACAGAAGCTCATGGCCACGGCCTGCTGTAGCGTGGCGATGGCTGAGGTGACCTGCGGTGGTGGTGGTGGTGGGAAGAGCCCCACACGCTGACCCAGCTCTGCCTGCTGCACCATCTCACGGTCATATTTGACAATCTCCTGAATGATGGCATTCTCCTGGTTGTTGAACACACCTGAGCTGAGGTCGTGCTGAACTTTGTGCAGCAAGATGGAGTTCTTCTTGCCTGTGGGCAAAGCAGGAGTTAGCGGTACCTGGGCACCTGCCTATGCAGCGGGTATGAGTACAGCACCCACTGTGTACAGTTGTGACCTATCCCGTGGCCTGTGCATGCTAACTGCCTGCTGCTTACAGCAGGTACACAAGTGTATCCAGCACAATCTGTCTAAAGTCCCTGTCATGTGGTCATGTGCAGGTGTGTATGAGCTCTTGCTGTGTGTTCTCTGACCCACCCTGGCCCACTTGATTCTAGCCATTGTCTTGTCATTAGCCCTATATGCCTGACACAGGCCACCAGCCTCCTTCTAGATGTTACCAACAAACCCAGGATATTCCACACTCCTAATGTGCCTGGTTTATGGAGCTGGAGCTGTTTCCACCAGGCCCCCTCTTTCTGACCCTTCTTGCCTCTGTCCTTCAGGCCTCCTTACCTCAAGGCCTTTACCTGCTATGTTCCCGTTAGAAAGACGCCTTCCCTTGTATCACCTGGACTCTCCTCAACACCCCATCCTTTCTGTATGCCATGCCTCTACTGCCCTGGGTCTCTCTCAGGCAGTCTGGAAGCTCACCGATGCGGTCAAGGCGGTCAATGGCCACAGTCTCAAAGGCACGGCGCATCATGGGGTACTCCTCCAGCACCTCGTTGAAATTATCAACACTCAGTGAGTAGAGGCGGCAGTAGGTATCAGCCCGCACACTGGCCGTGCGCCGGCCCCTTGTGAGTAAGCAGATCTCTGCAAAGCCAGGAGAGGAGTCTCAGTAGCTGACGGTACACAACTGCCCACCCAGCACCTACTCAAAGCCCACCCGCTGCTGTCTCAAATCCTACTGGGGGCTCCCTGGGTTGGAGCTGTCCACATCCACTCCCATCCCGACCTCGGCCTTGCTGTGGAATGCTCACCCCCGAAATAGGAGCCATCTGACAGCTTCATCTCCTTGTTGCCCTTGGTGAGCACGCTCACCACCCCATGCTGGATGAAGTACATCTTCTTGCCAATGGTTCCCTCTCGGATGATGTAATCGCCGGGCTGGAAGACCTCGAACTTGAGCTTTGTCAGCATGGCTGTGACGAAGTTGGGGTCTGCGTTGGCAAACAGAGGCATGGAGGCCACCAGCTTCCGGCAGTTGAAGTTCACAATCTCCTGTGGGTGGTAGGGAGGGTGGCTGAGTGACTGTCTTGGTAACTCAAGACCCTCAGTCTCCTCTGCTAGAGGGTGGCCCCTTAGCTCCTATCCAACTTCCTAGGCAGATACTGGAGGCAGGTTCAGGAGACAGGTTCAAAATATACAGGAAAGCCCTGAGTACCCACACCACCATGGAATGGGTGACACTGGACTGGGAAAGTAAAATGTGGTCTCTTTGTAGATAACAAGACCACAAATATCCAAAAAGGTCAAAGGAGAGTCAAAGCTCAGTAGGCAGGACTCTCTTTTGGCATCCAATCCCTGGTATCCAACCACAGCATGGCATAAACCAGGTCATGAAGCGGGGCGGTGGTGGTGCACATCTTTGGTCCCAGCACTCATGAAGCAGAAGCAGGCGGATCTCTGTGAGTTCAAGATCAGCCTGGTCTAGAAGAGCTAGTTCCAGGACAGGCTCAAAAACCACAGAGAAACCCTGTCTCGAAAAACCAAACAAATAAACCAGGTCATTTAGGTCTGTCATTGAAGCACACTGGAGGTAGAGGCAGGAGGATCAGGAGTTCAAAGCCATTCTCACCTACATAGTGAGTTCTATGACAGCCTGGGCTACATGAGACTCTGTCTCATAAAAACAAACAGTTGGGGGGCAGAGGCGGGCGGATGTCTGTGAATTGGAAGGTAGTCTGGTCTACAAAGCTAGTTCCAGGACAGCCAGGAACCAAAAAAAAAAAAAAAAAAAAAAAAAAAAAAGAAAAGAAAAAACTTTTGAAGGAAAAGGAGGCTGTACCACATGTATCCTTGGCCTCTAGCTACACATGAAATGTAATCCCAGCCAGGACGCTTAGGCTTGTGCTTTTATATAGCTGGATCTAGTCAAGGGTATTGCCAAGAATCCATGGAGAAGGAGACCGGGCTCCACAATTCACTACAGGGCTGGGGTGTGAGCTGAGGTCCTGCCAAGGAGGTTGTCAGAGGGACATATGAAATAATAACCAAGCCAGACAATGTGGCCCAGGCTGTCATCCCACAGTACTCAGGAAGCTAAAGCAGGAGGATTGCCTCAAATTTGTGGTCACCCTGTGCTGTAGAGTGAAACCTTTCTCAAAAAACTGGAAAGGAGGGGGCTGGAGAGACGGCTTAGTTGTTAAAGTGCCCTTCCAGAGGTTCTTGAGTTCATTTCCTATCAACCACATGATGGTTCACAACTTTCTGTAAAGAGATCTGGTGCCCTCTTCTGGCCGGCAGGGACACAGGCAGACAGAACACTGTGTACATAATAAATAAATAATGGAAAAGAGGGCTGAGCTGTGGTGGTGCATCCCTTTAATCCCAGCCCTCAGAGGCAGGTGGATTGCTGAGTTCAAGGCCAGCCTGGTCTATAGAGTGAGTTCCAGGACAGTCAGGGTTACATAGAAAAACCCTGTCTTGAAAAAAACAAAAAATAATCCAAAACAAAAACAAAAAATATTTCTTGGGGTTACTGGTGAAGTTCTAGAGCTGGGGGTTACTGGTGAAGTTCTAGAGCTGTGGATGGATGCCCTGCAAAGCCATGCATTTCATGCATTCTGTGGCCTGCAAGCTACATTCTCTACAAAGGAGCAGTGAGAATGTATAACAACTGAATACTGTTGAACATCTCCGAGGCCATTAACCACAGGATGCCTCCTGGGATGGCCCCACACAGCCTCGGGCCCTGAGCCACGAGGCCCCCAAGACTCTGCATGGGTGCCTGGCCTGCCAGCTTTGGCAGCCTCCTCCTGTAATTCCCTCCTGGGACCTCTGCCCTGGCTGTGCTCTCCACTTGGGATAGACATGCTGCCCTTGCTTCAGCCCATCGGCCCCAAATCACCCAGAGCATTATCATTGCTCTTTCCCACCCACTGCCCCTATGACACTGCCCAACAGTAGGGCTGGGGCTGAGGTCTTGAGCCCAGAACCTATGAATGGGACTTTATTTGGAAATTGGAAACGGGGTCTTTGAAGAATTACAAAGGTGAAGTCAAGCTTGGGGGGGGGGCTTTGTGAGCACAGTTAAAAGAGTAAGAAGGAAGATGCTTGGGGCTGGAGAGGTGGCTCAGTGGTTAAGAACAGTAGCTGGTCTTCCAGAGGTCCTGAGTTCAATTCCCAGCAACCACATGATGGTTCACAACCATCTGTAATGAGACCTGGTGCCCTCTTCTGGCCTGCAGACAGAACTCTAAAAAATATATAAATCTTTAAAAGAAAAAAAAAATGTAGTTCATCATCAAGACTCATGTAAAAAGAGGAGGGTGCCAGTGTACACTTGGTATATCCAGAGATAGGATCCCTGAGACCAGCTTGGCTGGCTGAATTGCTGAGCTCCAGGCCAGTGAGAGATTATGTCTCAAAAGGTGTTGGCTGGCCAGGTGTTGGTGGTGCATGCCTCTAATCCCATCCCAGCACTCAGGAAGCAAAGGCAGGCAGATCTCTGTGAGTTCGAGGCCAACCAGATCGAGTTCCAGGACAGGCTCCAAAGCAATACAGAGAAACCCTGTCTCAGAAAAAAAAGAGGG